TGTTAGTAGTACGTCATGCTTAAGTCTGAAAATAAATATTTAAAGAACATCTGCTGTGGCCTTATTACAATAACAAGTTCATAATCAATTTTTTAAACACCTTATGTATTATAAAAAAAAAAGTACGTATTCGATACGGTTACACTATAAAATGTAAACAATAATACAAGAATTTCAAAACTTAAAGCCCGATTTGTGAAATCGTCGTGTATTGTAGTACTAAACATTGATATGTATACGAAATTGTTGAGATAATTTAGCAGATAGACAAAACTATAAAATATAATTGTACCTTGAAATAATTTATGAAAATAATTAAAAAATATTCAGTTTTGTTATTATAAAACTGTCGATTAAAATACAAATCATTGAACACACTAAAATAATAATTTTGAAACATAACAAATTATTTGTAATTACATTTAGTTCTTAAAGTCAGGGGACTAATAATATTTAAATTTGAAATTACATCATTTTTTTAAAATTATATTAAATAAAAATTTCCAAATAATTAAAAAAGGGCTCAAGTGATTAAATGATTATCAGCTAATAATCTAAATCGGGTTTATTGACACATATACGATTATTGCTGTAACATTTAAACTTACACACAGATTAATATATAGCATCTAATATCAGAGCTTTTATCAACAACACAAACAACAAATAAGGTTCTAAAACTGGTTTATTCTAATCAAGACCATAGTGTAGCCAGCCAAATAATACAAAATCACTTAAACGTGATCAACTTGTTGTCAATTCTATTTACTGAAGCAATGTAAACTAATGAAAAATCTTTAAAATCTAACAAATTAAACAGTGTTAAATTTTACAAAAAAAATGTGTAGTTTTAATTTTGATTGGTCTTGCGATGGTCTTGTTACAATCGGTATTAAAAACAAGAACTGGACGCTTTCGTGCAGTGTTTGTGGGTGAGCTAGGGTAACACTTGTGTACGTCACTATCTGTCTCTCTGATTTGTCAACTCAGCATATATAAGTTTTGTTCTATTTTACATTGTTTGCGTGTAACATTTTATAGTCGGGTACAAGTATTATTGTGTGTATACAATCTTAATAACTATTAATAAAAATATTTTTAAAAAATACTGCAGGCTATACAAAACGCGTATAGGTAACGCTCGGTTCTTGTTCCTATATCATATCTCTAGTTCCCGGGCAACCCGAAAAAATCATACCTTTCATATGTATTTTTATTCTTATTACACTCTATATACATATACAATATAATATTACACGACCGACGAGTTGGTAGGTATACTTCTGGGTTCTGATGATAAACCCCTATTTTCCCGCCTTGCGTCTCTCAGTGGTCGGTTCGCCATATTCAAGCTTGCGTGACCACAAAGACACTATAAGGGAGCCCTATCCGGATCCCACTCTTTACTTTTATTATTACAAAACGGGATGATGGATATATATTATGTATAAATTGTTTTTGTCATTTTTCTCAGAGACGTCGACGGAATTCTTTTCCTTAACAAGGGTTTATAAAAAATATGGTAATACTATATATCACTAAATACAGAGTTATTTTTTGCCATGCACCACTTAATATCTCATAGGGTTAAATAAGAAATTACATTTTTTTTTCATATTGTTGTTATACAATGTGATCTCAATTTTTACAGAATTTTTTTGTTTTTACCCCCCTCCCAACTTAGTTTTTTGATAGCAACATTTGAAACTTAAACGGTAACGTATATATTTTATTAACTTTTTAAATTGAGAATAATGTACAAAAGTTTTGACTGGTCGACATCCAGTTTCGGATAACTGTTTTTAAGTTATACGAGTTTTAAAGTTAGGATGGGAGGGGAATTGCGCGCAGATAAAAAATACTACACTCCACCTTTCCTCCTGCTCTAATCTAGAAACTTCAACAACTTCAAAAACAGTTACCCGAAACTGGTTATCGACCAGCCAAAATTTTTTAGTACATAGTTCTCAACTTAAAAAAATATCAAAATATATACGTTACTATTTAAGTTTCAAAAGTTGCTATCAAAAAATCTAAGTCGGGAGGGGGTAAAAACAAAAAAAAAATTGAAAAATTGAGATCCCATTGTATAAAAACAATATGAAAAACCAGTACAGTGGGGTCGGGGCATAGCGGGGATGGAGCATGGTGGGGAACGGGGCATAGAAGCGACGGTAGGTCACAAGTTTACAGGAATTTTTAAATCTTAAAGTGATAAAATCACTTTCGAATAAACGCTTCGATGCAAATCAGTAATTAGTATTTTCAAGCCAGTACAGTCAAAACCAAGCATAGTATAATCCAGCAGAGTAAGAAAGAATTAAATTGAGGTGCTGAATTTACAAATAAGCTTCAAAGCGTTAATTTGAAAGTGATTTTATTCAATTTTTCACTTTTATTTATAATAATTCCTGTAGACCTGTGACCTCTCCGTCCCCTCGTTGCTTTGATTCCATAATACCTATAATCTACTGTACGAGTCATCTCGAATAGAATCACTTTCAAACAATTATCAAATTAAAACCCAAAAATTGTACTTGAGTATCAAAACTTAATAGCATCATTCTGCATTGATCTACATACAATTGTTGTAATGATTTGATAAAGAAAATTTAAGATTTTAGGTGTTTTTGTTAAAATATACGAAATCTGCAAAAAACACAGTTTTCCGGATATTAAAAAAAAACTGTATTAACGAAATTTTTCAGTTTAATATGTTATGGATACATTGAACCAATTTGATATTGAGTGGCTCATGATAAAAAAATCATTCTGTATGTAGCGTTTCAGGTACCCGGTTCTTTACTATTACGGGTATAACCCTTTATATATTAAGAGTTCTTTTTTTAGGCATTCGTATATTCAATTCAGATAATATGGTATGACTTTTATAAAATTCGCAGGCAAAATTATAATTCTTGTTTTGTTTTCAAACCGATATAATTGTATACGACAAACGTTAGTATTATTTTTTTGTGTTCAGTACAAAACATGTTTTTTATTATTTGAACAATACATATGCACGTTATCTCTCTACTTATTTTTTACACATTTAGATTTATAAGAGTCCTTTGCTAAAAATTACATTAATTATTTTAACTACAAAAAATAGTATTCGTATAGTGTATTAAATAAGATCAGTTGGTATCGTTTCAAACCAATAAATTCGTGTTTAGTTAACCTGCATATTTGTTTAGTTTAATATTAAAACAGGTTATTATTTGAACAATACACGTGCAAAACATTTTTCTGCTTATGTACTACAACTTAATAACGAATTTCAATTCCAGTTATTTTAAAATAAGTGTAACATCATAAAATGTACATTATTTTTTATCACTATAAACAATTCTGATAGCTTAACTGAGTTTGACCTTGTAAAAATAAGTTGATGATAAGAACATGTTGATGTTAAGTTATGCCATTTGGGACGGTATTAAAAACTCGTTCCTGGAACAATATTATTATACAATAAACATGGTATAAAATATATGTTTAGTATATTTTATATTTTATACTCGTATATTATATTAAAGTAGATAGTTTGATATCGCTTTCATAAAATGTGTCCTAGTAATATAATATCTGTTGCTTTTTTTTGAAACTGATAAATTCGTATATACAGGGTGATATTTTTATCATGAACCACTCAATATCTCATAGGGTTTAATAAGAAATTAAAATATTTTTTTTTCATATTGTTGTTATACAATGTAATTTTCCCAGTTATTTTTGTTTTTACCCCCTCCCAACTTAGTTTTTTTGATAAGAACATTTCAAACTTAAATGGTAACATATATATTTTATAACTTTTTAAATTGAGAATAATGTACTAAAAATGTTGACTGGTCGATAACCAGTTTCGTAAGGTTTGGAACCGTATAATATCTTCCGTATACGCGTTATGATATACACTAGCTATATGATGCTTCGTTATAATTTATAGAGTCTCCAAAAAAGAAAAAATTAGTTCTTTTTCTAACAAATTTCGAAGTGAAAATTTAGGCAATTGATTCAATTTTATAGTATATTTTTTTCTTTAAAATAATAGTTCAGGTAATATATTATCCTTTTTTCAAAACAAAACCAAATTATTTGTCTCTAATATAGCAATAAACGCTTATTAATAGTTCACTAATTTGAACAGTTGAGTAAGAATAACTGTTTTTAACAGTTTTGTCTTCAAAATATTAAATGCTAACAGAATATTTCGAAAAATATAGGGGTTCCCATTTGAATTTCAAAAATTGATAGTGTGCATGCGCAAACTACATAAGGTTAAACTTCAGATTTGGACTTAAAATGTGCTTCACAAATATGTACTTTTTCATAATTTAAGCAAAACTCTAGCTACTCTCTCATGGTACAATTATATCAGGATGATATGAAGTTGTAAATGCACATTCCTTATCTTTATCTAAATGAGAAGTAATATTTAAAATACCATATTTACAACATGTAATATTGTCAGGTAACATGGTAACATTATTATGTTTACCTTATTAGGTAATGTTTAAACTGCAATTCGTCCATTTCTCACTTTTTTCAGTTTATCAACAATCAAATATTAAATACCTATAGTATATTATAATTGTGGAACAGGAATAAATTTGTGAAAAATCCATTTGATTAATTTATACAATATATTACATGTTACGTAACAGCAGTTTATAAAAATATATATGGTGGGGATTTTCCACCATACGCGAGTGCTACACCGGCACAACTATTGTCGTTTGTGTATTTTGGGTTTCATAACAAACGTCAACGAATATTATTAACTATATTAATCTAATTGTGTTTTACTTTCATACTATAGTATAACAGTGTAAATAACTCTACAGGAATAGAAAAACTCATAATAATACAGCTTGATTTTTTAACAGTTTATTATGATTTTGTAATATTAACAATTATTGTGATTTAAGTATTACATTTATTATTATAATTTATTTTAGGAAAATTGTGTAATTCCAGTAATAATGAAAAATTCCATTTGAAAATAAAATTATCACAAGAGAAAACTCAACTTGAATTTATAATCGCAACAATAGAACAACTTTTAATAAAAATATAGACTCTAGAAATATTACATTAATTTGATTTTCTTAACAAAAAATCTCTGAAACCTTCTCTTGAATTACTATTTTGACATAACATCCTTTTCATTCTCGCTTTCTAAACATAATAAAAAAAATAAATTTTTAGTTTTTGTATTATAAATCCGACTAAAAAATCTTTTGTTGACTAAAGTGGAGATTTTTTTCAAAAGTTTTGTGGTTCGGGGACAATAGTGATTTATAGATTTGAAATATAAAACCATGAATTAAAAATTTATATATCTTGAGTTAAGATATATCACTTACTCTTATTGTGGTTTTCATCCTTCAATTTATTTTCTTTACCAGAAACTAAACATAATAAAAAAAGAAATTATTAGTTTTTATATTCTTTGTTTTAACCTTATAAATTAATTCGGATTATATTATCTTTTCTACGACCAAAATATCTTTTGTTGACTAAAGTGGAGATTTTTTTCAAAAGTTTTGTGGTTCGGGGACAATAGTGATTTATAGATTTGAAATATAAATCCATAAATTAAAAAATTATATATCTTGAGTTAAAATACATCACTTACTCTTATTGTGGTTTTCATCCTTCAATTTATTTTCTTTACCAGAAACTAAACATAATAAAAAAAGAAATTATTAGTTTTTATATTCTTTGTTTTAACCTTATAAATTAATTCGGATTATAGTATCTTTTCTACGACCAAAATATCTTTTGTTGACTAAAGTGGAGATTTTTTTCAAAAGTTTTGTGGTTCGGGGACAATAGTGATTTATAGATTTGAAATATAAATCCATAAATTAAAAAATTATATATCTTGAGTTAAAATACATCACTTACTCTTATTGTGGTTTTCATCCTTCAATTTATTTTCTTTACCAGAAACTAAACATAATAAAAAAAGAAATTATTAGTTTTTATATTATTTGTTTTAACCTTATACAAGGATTCTGATTAAAATCCTTTTACGACTTAATTATTTATTACCACAAAATATTGATATTTTCAACGCTTTAATTAGCTAAACCTTGCTTAAATAGAAAATGTTGGTAATTTTTTTCCTAACTATTAAAATGCAAATTTGAAAATGAAAAAAAAAATAACATTAATACCTAAACTGCCGTGCTTATTATAAATATTCTATCTTCTTTTTGCTTGGAACGACCAGATAGGACTTTTTTTCTTAGTTCACCCTAGAAAACTGTAAATAGGACGAATCATTCATTAGCTCCAGAGAGTTTTGTAATGCACGTAGGACGTTCCGAGTTGGAACAAAAAATACTACACCCCAAAAACTTCACAGAGAGCAAAAAAAAACCGAGTGAGCCGCGAAAATACTCACAATAGTTTTATGTAAACATCTTATTTCGGGTTCTACATAAAATACAATTTTAAAAAAGAGTTGAACTTATCATGTGCGAGAACTTTATAGAGAAACAATTATTATTTTTTGTATTGTTGATATTATTGGTTTATGGTAACTATAATAAGATACATAAACACGAGACTGTATGTTGTCTAAGCTCCGCTGGAATACTGCATCTATACTGTGCTTGATTGTGTAGTACTCACTCATCTATCTGAGTTTATTTAAAGGTTAAAAGTATATTTCAGAAAGTTAATAAGACTCTCTCCTTCTGTACTGAAGTTGACGTTAAAATCTCCACTCTGTTATTTTAATATACGGGGCGTAATATTTTAGCCGTTCATCAACCGTAAATTGAAGTCATTAAATTTGGGTGAGATCGCTTGATAATCTACAAAGCGAAATTGATTACCTATTCTAACCTAACCAACCTAAGGAAATTCTATAAAATTTTAAAAGTGTAGATATCTATACTTTTGGACAACGACAAAAAAATATCATTGGAAAAAATTGATCTTGAAATAAAGCTCAAAAACCTAACCCATAGTACATACTGAAATCGTCAAAAATAATATTCAAGATACTATTGAGTGTGCTAAAAGTACTGATGCTACTGAAATCATAATACACACGAAACATATCGAAAACAATGTTCATGATACTATTGACTGTGCTAAAATAACTTTCGCGAATGGGTACCTTAATTGGTAACGTGTGTGACAAGCCCGCGAACCCCAATAATTGGCGTAGGGAAAGTGGAACCCACAGTTGCCCAATGCACTTAGATGCATTGCAGTAGTCCTACCCTGATCTTAGTCGGTTGGGGTAGTCTGGTCCTCCAGGTTGTGGGTTATGCGTTGGGCTAATAACCCAATCATATAAAACAAGTCATGTTCAGGATTCAAACAATTAGCCTCAGGATAGATTTTACGGGGGAAAAAAAGGAAACTGAAAATCGGAATTATTTTGTCGTACATGGAACAAAAAGTCTTTGTACAAACCAGGAGAAACTTTGTATTTGCTAATAGCAGTAGAAAAATATAAGATGACGTGTGTGGCCTTACAATAAATAAGGTGGGACAACTTAAGTATTCCAAACTACCATTTTTAATGAGAAATGTGAACATCCTTACAAATTAGGGACCGGTTTGCTATACACGAGTCAATAATTTACACAGTTAAATATATCCTGTACTAGTAAACTCTAGATTAAATAAAAACATGTAAGAACATTGCACGGAGCAGACATAGGTTCTGATCACTTACTACTATATATATAGATAAGGGTGAAACTCAAATAACTTAGTAAACACAACCCAGTAAACTTTAAGGAGGCTTGACATAGACAAGTTGGAAAAACAAGATATAGGCAAAGAATTTGAAAATAGTATCAAGGACGCTCTATAAAGTAAATAAATAATGGTCGATGGAAATGTTGATGAGAATTGGGAAAAATTTAGAGAAGTTATAAGCAACGCAGCTAACAAGACTTAAGAACCAAAAAATAAAAAATGTAAGCCTTGGTCCAACAGAATTTGCATGGAAGCGTTGCAGAAAAGAAAGTTGGCAAGACAGAAGGGGTTAAACGATAAAAGTAACGAAGATTTATGTGCAAGGTACAAAACTCGTCCAAGGGAAACAAATAATATCTTAAGAAGTGAAAAGCGGAATTATGTCCGAAATATAATAGATAATGCTATATGTACGTATAAATGATCTTACGGATGGGTACAAGAAGAGGGGAAGGTTCCTAAAGGATAACGATGCATAACCAAAAATTAAGAATTAGCCAAAAAGTGGGGAGATTATTTTGACAATCTGCTTAACTGCGAAGAACCAGACGAAGTTTTTAGCATTAACTTAGAAACTAGAGAAGAACAAGAAAGCTTAGAATTATCGCTGGAGGAGATAAGATTCCAAATATATACTTTAAAAAATCATAAATCACCTGGCGAGGATCAAATCCATGCGGAACTCTTAAAAATAGGGGGAGAATAAATGACGTTTAGGCTCTGGAAACTGATTAACCGAATATGGACAACCTAAAAGTTACCGAGAGATTGGAAAATAGCATTAATGTGTCCAGTTCATAAGAAGGGGGACAGATAGGAGTGCAATAACTATCGCGGGATTGCCCTTCTTTATGTATACAGTTTTCGCGAACTGTATTGTGTCAAGGATAAAAACAAATTTAGAGCAAATTATTGACGATTATCAAGGAGGCTTTAGACCAGGAAGATCTACGGTGGACCAAATATGTATTCTCAGACAACTATTCCAAAAGACATGGGAGGAAGTTCATGTGCTTATTATCGACTTCGAAAAGGTATACGATAGTATCCATCGCAAAAGCTTGATAAATATTCTTAGAAAGTAAAACTTCCCATAAAAATTAGTAAAGCTAGTCGAGACAAGCATTATGGAAACATTCGTTAAATTAAAAGTGGTAGAGGCTGAAACCCAAAAACAGTGAAATCAGACCTAAGACGGGGGACTCTATGTCACCTGTTCTATTTAACCTAGTATTAGAAAAAGTTATGAGGGAAACTCATATCGGACCTCAAGATAGTGTGTCAATACAAGAGTCATCCGTGGCATTGTTGGCATATGCAGACGATTTGGTCCTCGTGGATAAATCACACGATGGCCTATGAACACTATTGGACCGATTGGAGGAGCAGCGAAGGAAGTTGGTTTGCACATAAATGAAGTCCAAACAGAATACACGGTGTTGGGGAATTTATCCTTCCTTAAGAGTGGGTAACCACGAATTCAATCGAGTAAAACAATTTAAAAGCCTAGGTTCAGTATTGACCGAAAAAAATGAAACTGTAAGTAGCAGCAAGTATCCTGTCGGCAAACAAATATTTCTACGGACTAATAAAGATAAATTTGTATGGTTTAATATTTGGATAATTTACTATCGATAAACATTTACTAACTAATAAAATATCATAAGCCTTTTCCCACCGGAATGGGTGGAATCATAATCCTTTTTTATCTTTCTAAATTTAGAAATAAAGTGATTTTATTTCTTACGTTTAAGTTCAAGTATTTAAGCCTAAAATATATTTTTAATAAATGTTTATTATTTAATATTTAAAATTATTATTGTACATATTGATAAAGAATATTAAGAGGGCGTCGCACCGCCCATTTTTAAGGAGTAAAGTATAGGCAATCTTTTACAAAATCTTAATTTAAAGATTAAACTGTGACGTGTAATTATTGGTTCAATAACTAGGACTCTATTTTGGTAGTTAATTTATTATTTGGACTATCACAGCATCCTTGAAAGTGATTAAAAAATGTTTTTTCATCTCTACATGTTTAAGCAGACTGAAAATAACTTGCTTAATTTTGATTTTAGATTAAAAGCACCCATTATAAAACTAAAAGAGAACAATATTCCGGAGAGTAAGACGGTGCATTTTTTCATTATTCCAAGTATAACGCACAATACATAGATTAGAAATAACGACCTTTTTTAACATTTTTAAATGACTGTAACTTTTCAAAAAATTATTTTTTATAATAAAACGCACCGTCTTGCCCTACGGAATATTATTTTCTTTTAATTTTATAATGGACGCTTTTACTCTAAAACCAAAGTTATATTCAGTCTGCTTAAACATGTTATTACCACTGAAAACCACCGGTGCGACGCCCTCTTAACAAAATATGAAACTATTAAACTATATAAGTAAGCATTTTTATAGTGATTTGTTTGTTTAAAGATTTAGTTTTTCTAAAATTGTATAAAAAACCGTTCATAATCGCATAGTTTTTATTATTGATGAAATAATACTTTAGCAATGGACACCAGTGCCATAAATAAACAACAACCAGGTAAATTATTATTTAAAAGTACTTTAATTTTGAGTTTTGGCTGAAAAGACGTTTTGTTTGATAATAGCCAGGAATTGAATAAAATACGAATCTAAAAATTACGTTGTTTTTTATAATTACAATAAACGTCGATTAAAACAAATAAGTTCGTATTTAGGTAACCTTCATATTTTTTAGTTTTATATGAGAACATGTTATTATTTGAACAATACACGGGCTAAATATTTCTCTGCTTATGTACTACAACTTTAGACCTATAAGAGGCTTCTGCCTCTCGGAATTTCAAAACTCAATTTAACCAATGCTCTTTGAAATTTGATTTGTATTTAATGCGCCCAAATTAGTTTTTATTCAAGACACGCCAGCTGTACCACAAAATGCTTGAGTCGAAAAGAAATAATGTATTTACAATAATTTATTTTTTTGTTCAACATGCTATGATTTTTTTAACGTTGGTTCTGAATTTGTTTGGTATATTCTTTAGATAATGACGTGCTATCGATTAAAAATTGCAAGCTAATAAAATATCAAAAGACCTTCCCACTAGAAGGGGTAAAAACGTAATCGCTTTTCTTTTTAACCAAAAATTAAAGATGTTTAACATTATTTAAAATTTTAGTTCATTTTCGGTTGTTTTCAAAGTAATTGATATTTTAAATAAAATGTGCTACAGTTGATTGGTAAATGGTTTTTGTACTACAATTATTTTTTTATCTTTTAGTACACTTGTTTTAATACTTTTTTAGAAAAGCATGTTTTTAAAAAAGTTTTTTTTTATATTTTATATTTTACTTTTTAGTCCTATTAAAAGTACTTAATAGTTGTGGGTAGATTACTAAATCCAAAATTAATTTTGGAAGATTTGAAAACACATGAAATTTTAGTGAAATGGCCCCAATATTATTACAGGATATTGTATTGTCATCAGAGATGGCTGTTTGTGCCAAGTTTCAGGCCTCTACGGCATCGGCAAGTGGGTTAAATTAATTTTGCAAGATTTGAAAAATACTCGTACAAATGCACGTATGTGTTAGCAAGGTAATGAAAAGCGTGTAAAAGCTATAACCTAAAACAATATGTTATAAAGACACAAAAAATTACTTGCCTAGAAGCGGCAAATTGACATTGGCAAATCTACACAAATACATATCTACGTCCCACTGTATATCTTTCGCTTTTTTTTTAAAATCCTTTTTTGACATAACATATTTACCTAGAAATAATTATAAAAGTATTCACATTAAAATTTACCAAACTATATTACTTTCTAACGAGTTGATTGATTACAATTATTATCATCGCGTTATAAGTTGCAAAAAAAAAAAAAAACTACCTATCGATAATAATTTACACAAAACATCGATGTGATTATTAGTTCTTTACATTTCACATATATATGTTACAATATCTTTTACTGAATTGTTATTATTTTTCGTACTTGGCGGCAATTTTTCATAGAAACTATACAAAGTGTTTTCGGTTAATCCATATTTGAGTAAGTTGTCGGTCAAGTAGCACTTTATGAGATATCTGTCCACTTTATCACATCCAGATAATACATTACAGTATTCACTACGGAGAGCTTTTAATTCAGCCTTATTAACTCCGTCATCACCCGTGGTACCATAATAAATGCGGTCCAATTGCTAAAATCATTACATTTTTTTTAATACACAATGTGATCACTATTATAACAGAAATAAGTGTCTCAAATTATTACTAGTATATTGTTCAATAGATCTATTTAGATATTAAAAAAATTCATAATTACCGCATCAGTAAACTCTTGAAGTTTTAGTGCACTTTTAAATTCTCTTATTGTCATAGGAATACCTAGAAATCATTATAATAGTGTTTAAATTAAAAACTAAGTTATGCTGTAACGAATTAACAGTGTTGTCAATTTTATCAGTACTATTATCATTATCACAAAAAAGGCACTGTCTTGTGTTTTTGTTTAATATAAAATTATGACATGACTTGTGTGTAATTTCTTTAATTAAAATCTTAAATTAAATAATAGTGAAGTCGTTTAGACATAATACATATTGTTCTATGTACTAACAATATATTAAAACATGGCGCAGTCGCAAACTAATTAATTTTTACACGATGAAATAAGATAAAAAAAAAAAGTGCACGTGTGAAATAAAGTGTTAATTATGGAAATTAATAAACCAGAATGTTTGAAATTAACTGGCAATGTGGCTGAAAATTACAAATTATTCAAGGAAGAAGTCCTGGTATTCTTCGAAGCCACAGAGACAACGCAAAAGCCTCAAAAAGTGCAAGTGGCACGCTTGTTGTACTTAATTGGCAGCGAGGGCGTTAAAATATACAGAACATTTAACGTGAAGCCAAAGAGTGAAACGGTTGAAATCATTTTCAATAAATTAAAAGAATACTGTACACCAAAACGAAACGAAGTAATGGAGCATTATAAGTTTTTTATGAGAAAACAAGAAGTATTTTACACTATGTGATCTCAAAGACGGATTTTATCAGAGTGAGCTAGAGAGTGAGTCTAAAAAATATTGTGCTTTTAGCACACCGTTTGCCTCATATCAGTTCAAAAGATTACCTTTTGGCCTAGCTAATGCCCCGGAAGTGTTCCAACAATTAACATAAAAATATTTTGGTTGTATTAGTAATGTTTGTGTATATTTTGATGACATACTTGAGAGTGGGGAAACACAACAGGAACATGATGAGACATTAAAACCGGTAGTAGAACAGGCGAGGAAGTTAAATATTAATTTTAATCTTAAAAAATTGCAATATCAAAAAATGGAAGTGAGATTTTTAGGTATGATATTTAGTGTGAAAGGAATAGAACCTGATTAAGAAAGAGTTAAATATATTGTTTAATTAAAAATACCACAACATGTTAAGCAACTCCAATCGTCTTTCAGGAATGGTTAACTATCTAAGAATTTTTATACCTAATATATCTGAATTAGTTGAATCATTAAGAGGTCTACTGAGAAAACATATTGTGTGGACTTGGGATAAAAATTGTGATAGTGCTCTTAATAAATTTAAAAATGTGTTAACTGAATTGACGGCTCTTAGAAACTATAATGCTAAAGATAATTTTACAATACACGTACCCGACAACATTTCATGTACATCGCTTTTTGGTGTCATATAAAACGTTTCTTCTAAATACTAAAATCATTACATTTTTTTTTTTTTTTTAATACACAATGTTTCTGCTACTATTATAGAAATACTTTTGTATCAAATTAGGTTTATTAAACAAAATTTATTAATATTTTAATGAGTTATATATTTAAATAGAAAAAATTCATATTTACCGAATAAGTTAAATGTGGTCTATCCATTAAGTTTATATATCTGTCTTTTGAATAACAAGATTCTAGAATTCATTTAAAAAATATTCATGTTAAAATTTACCAAACTATATAATTATTATGTAACGAATTAACAGGTTACATTTATCATTATTGCTTTTATTGTTTTTATGTACGAACTACGATATTTAGTCATAACAGGTATTATTAAAAGCCAAATAATACCATTAGTTTTGTTTGTACACTTGTTTAAATTTTAAATAATCTATAATCTTGTCTAAAAAAAAATTTATGGGAAAGTCGTCAAATGAATATTTAAATATTAATTACAATTCGTCTAAAGAAAACAAGATAAAAGCGGATTATATTTGTATAACATATTCTTCCTAATTATCTATTGACATTTTCATGTCTTAGCTCTGACACATAACCGAAAAAAGTGTTACGCTGTTATCTGATATGAGATATAAGATAGGGATAGGGGATAGGGGTGAGTGATAGGAACGGGAGATAGTGGGTGGGGGATAGGGGTAAGATATAGAAGATGAGAGATAAGAGATATGTTGTACGTTCAACGTTCAAATTAGAACTAAATAATAAATTCAAAACGGTTTAATTCTCTATATATTAAACTATGTTAAGTTACTTTTGGCCAGATAATAAACACTACAATTTTAGCCAGAAACATAATTGTACATAATTTTTTAATCTCCTTGGCTTATGCTGTAACTGAAAACTCCATGTATTTTTTTTTTTTATTATAATTCCACAACTAATCTATATTTATTCGGTACTTCAACGAGACATGAAAATGCTCTTTCGAGGTCGCAGACTCGGCTGAAAAACTTTTTTATCATCTGTTTACTGACGATTTCTGCATAATATTATAATTTATGCAAAATGTGTTTTACTAAATTATTATTATTCAACATACGATTTAATTTTCTAAAAATATATATGATATCCGATGTAGATAGCTTATGCTTCAATCCACTGTTTTTCTTCCTTAAGTAGCGTTCTACTGTACGCCTGGTAACAAATCCATTTTCATCGTCTTCTACTAGATCATAAAGTACTTCAAATTGCTAAAATCATTACATTTTTATTGTTAATACACATTATGAATACTACTATTTTTAAAATAATGTATCTCGAATTATTATCACTAGTATATTCACTAGTATCGAATTATTACTAGAAAATGATTTACTAGGTTTATAGAGTATTGAATTATTATATAATTTTTTGCCATATATTGGGATATTAAAAAATTACATAATTACCTCGTCAGTCAATGTTAACATTTTTAGTGATTTTTTAAATTTTTTTTCTGGCGTAGTAGTATCTAGAAATCATTATAAAAGAGTTTATATTAAAATTTACCAAACTAAATTATGCTGTAACGAATTAACCGGTTGCATTTATTATTATTGTGTTTTTGTGTACAAAATTTGACCATAACGGATATTATTAGAAGCCATCTAAAACCATAATTTTAATTGACCTCTTGTTTATTTCTTAAGTAGTCTAAAATCGTGTTTAGAAAACATTTTACGGCGAACGTTTTGTAACATAATTTGTGGAAAATTAAGATAAAAGCATTGCATATATGTTTATAACGTGTTTTTCCTAACTATCATTACTGGCTATTTCTGCACAATATTATAAGCACTCCTCAGAAATGTTAGAAACTACGCTCTACCTATCGATAATATTTTTTTGTAAATAGACAAAGTAATAATAGTCACATTTAACATATAGGTACATTTTACAATATCTAATAATTTTAATTATATAACGTACTCGGAATTTTTGCAGTTATAAACTGGATTTCCTGTTCAGGTAGTTCATGTTCTACTCTCACGATTTTCCCAGTTAAAAAATATTTTACTGATTCCTTGCCAACATCTTCGTCTAGGACCACATCACAAATATTGTCCAATTGCTAAAATCATTTTTTTTTTAATGGCCAATGTGAACACTAGTATTACAATTATTCAAAATTAAAATCACTTGAGTGAAAAACGATTTTATGCGCATGGTTAAAAATATTAAAATGACAGATGTTAACAAACTGTAAGCATTTGAGAATAATGAACTAAACATTTTGACTGGTCGATAACCAGTTTTGGTTGACTATTTTTGAAGTTATTGAAGTTTTATGTTTAGGGCAGGAGGAAAGTTTTAGTATCGTATTATTTATATCTACGAGCACTTCCCAACTGCACTTTCCCTCCTATCCTAACTTTTAAACTCTCATAACATAAATAGTTTTTCAAAACTAGTTATCAACCAGTCAAAACTTTTGGTACATTAATCTCAATTTAAAAAGTTACTAAAGTGTATGCGTTACCGTTTAAGTTACAAAAGTTGCTATCAAAAAAACTATATTTAAAAAAAATTGAAACATTGAGATCATATTGTACAATAACATTATAGAAAAAATAGTTCTAATTATTAGTTCTTTAAGTATGCCATTAGAGATACAATGTGGTGTGCCACAAGGTCCGGTTTTAGGACCTTTCTTTTTATAACAGACTGTTGAATTTTGATTTAAATGCAAAACACATTTTTTTATGCTGCTTTTTTGATCAAGGATAAAATAATTGATTCACTATTCTTAGATTCAAATATCATTATAAATGAAATGAAATCCTGGTTTAATAACAATCTACTACAATTCAATCAATAGACGAATCGAAATATTATATTTATTTTAACATAAACTCAAGAAAAATTAATCTGATTTATAAAATGCTCGTTAATTCACCAAACAGTAATAATATACCGTCTACAAATTGTATTTCCCTAAAATGTTTAAATAAACTTAAATACTGTAACGATGGCACCGCAATGTACCGTAACAATATCTAGGTAAAAATAACTGTAAATACTCTTATTAAATATTTATTAAATAAACTAAAGTATACTAGCAATAGTTATGTATATCATGAGTATAAGTAAATAACATTAAGGCTTTATATTACCAAAATATTTTAATCGTTTTGTATAAAATACAATATAAATGCTGGCATAATACAATATTAAACATATCGCATGAGTACTGTACTAGATACAAAGATAATATTATTATAAATATTCCTAAGTTTAAAGAACATTTTAAAGCAAAAAGTTCTATTCCTGTAGCAATAGTTTTATGTAGGATTCTTAAAACTAATATACTTGATTTTTAAGATATAAAACATTTCAAATTGTATTTGAAACATATCAATTTAGGTGATATTGTAATTATTGTATAATTTTTTTATATGTATGCGATTTCTATCAAACTCTCCACCACAAGCTATTAGGTTAAAGGAGGTTGCAAATACTACAAACTCTAACTTTTAGTTTAATATTTGATTTTATTTTGTTTTACACTGTAAGTTATGTTATCTACGTACCTACACCACACAATTGAATACAAATAATTATATTATTAGATAAAAAAAATGTATTATTACCGATTCTGCAAGTGTAATTATTTTTAGTGATTTTTTTAAGTCTTCTCTTAGCATAGGCATACCTAGAAACCATTATAAAAGTGTAACTATGCTGGAACGAATTTACAGGTAGTATTTATTATTATTGCGTTTTTATAACGGGCTTAACGGGTATTATTTAAAAGCCATCCAAAAACAATAATTATGTTTTTTCGCTTTTTTAGTTTTTAAACATTATAAAATCGTGTTTCGAAAAAGTTCATGGGAATGTCGTAAAGTTAATATTTCAATATTAATTTTAATTAGCCCAAAGAAAACAAGATAAAAGCGTTTTATATTTTTATAACTTGGTCTTTCTCATTATCTTTACAGACGATTTCTGCAAAATACTATAATTAGTACTCCTCAGAAATGTTGTAAAAAAACACACTACATACCGATAACAATATATGTTAAACATGAATGTGATGATTAGTTATTTACGTATCGTCGCCTAAGAGCCATCACATGGCCTATCTCAGTTTTTTCAACTTTTAAGGAGGGACAAAACAAATATTACGATAACATACGGTTCTATGAAGGCCCTAACGACATTTGATTGTTCACAGCAACCTCTTGGTGTCAAACATTTAGACTAATAACACTGTCTCACGCGGCTTGATAACACAAAAACATTGGCTTATAAAATACAATTTCAATTTTTTTTTCGATAGGCCATGGTGGTTCTTAGGCGATAATATATATTTTACCCAATTGTTATTATTCAACTAACCCGGCAATTTGTAAATTGTAAAATCGTTTTCCTGTTCAGGTAGTTCATGATTCAATCTAATGCTTTTTTCAATTAAGAAAAATCGTATATATTCCTCGGCAGCATCTTTTTGTACTGCTTTATAAATTTTGAAAAATTGCTAAAATCATTACATTTTTTTTTTAATACATAATTTGAGTATTACATTATTAGAGGAGTAATGTGTTACAAATTATTACCACTTCCCTTCATATTATTCACTAGGTTTATAGAGTATTTATTATTAATTACAATTTTTTATATTGTTTTATGTATTTCAATTAAATTTGTTAACAAATATTTTGTTCAAGTTATTGCTAATAAGGTTAAATTAGATATTATTTTTTAATAAACAATGTGATTACTACAAGTATAGAAATACTTTTGTCTCAAATAAGGTTAAAACTTAAACTTTTTTTTTTAATGAGTTATATATAAAGATAGGAAAAAATAATATTTACCTTATTAGAAAATCTGTGATTATTCATAATTTTTTTAAATTCCTTTTTTGACATAGGAATATCTAAAAATAATTTTAAAAATATTCATGTTAAAATTTAACAAACTATTTCTCCATAATATTATAAGTACTCTTCAGAAATGTTGTACAAAAAGCACAATACCTACCAACAATAATTTATGTAAAATATCCAAGTGATTATTAGTTATTCAAATTTCACTAATATATTTTACAATATTTTTTAATGAATTAATTAATATCATTTATCGTACCCGACGGCAAACGTTCTGTTAAATCATCTATTCTTACAGGGTCTATGTAACCTAGTTTGTCTTCATGTAAATGTCCTGTTAGGTAAGCCACTATGTCAGACTTGTAAACATTTTCAACGTCGCTTTCTGAAAGATCTTGCATTTTTCTAACCAAATATTCACGGGCGCCATCAAAAATTTCGTCCATTTGCTAAAATCATTACATTTTTTTTTGAATACACAATGTCATTACCATTATTACAGAAATAATGTGACTTAAATTTTTACTACTTCCCTGTATATTATTCACTAGGCTTATAGAGTATTTAATTATTATTATTTTTTTTTATTTATTATGTATTTAGATAAAATTTGCTATCAAATATTTTGTTCAAGTTATTGATAACAACGTAAAACCAGATAATATTATTTTTTTAATACACAATGTGAATACTACTATTATACAAATAATTTTGTCTCAATTTAGGTTTATTAAATAAACTTGATTTTTTTTTTCATGAGATATATTTGGGTAGTAACAAATTTAAAATTACCGCATCAGAAAGATTTACAAATACTGCAGAACAAAAATATAGAAACATGTATGAAAAAATAATAAAAAATGTAATATTCATTATGATATTTTTATAATGCGTAAGTCAATTGAATAGTGGTATACACGAGCTTAAAACTTAAATGATTCTTATTCGTTTTAATGGCTGCTGTTTTAGCGATTTCAGTGTAAAATTTAATAAACGCGTATGTATTTTGTTTGTTCAAAATAGGTTGAAAATTTAAAACTATAACAAAAGAACAGAAGTTGTTTTGCCATTTGGCAAGCACAAAAATTGTACCAAAAACCTATTTACACAAACGTCATATAACAACATGTTTTTTTAGCTTTTTGCAAACTAAATGTTTTATAGAAAAATGTTTTTATTTTTCAAATCCATTCCATAATTGTATTATTATTTTGAACGTTTAATTAATCGTATTAGGTTTTTTTCATATGGTTACACCGGCATTCTTACCCAATTTAGAAATGTTTGATTTTATTTTACCTGTAGTTAAAAATTTGTTTTTTAAATATATTTCAAAACGAATGAAGCATTATTTAATCATAATATCATTGAACAGTAGTTTGGTATTTTACTGGTGTTACCAGAATAAAAAAACAACAAAAACAAACATTAGCCTACAAAATATGTATGAAAAATTGAATCGCCTATTTTAGTTCAGATTTTCACAAAGATTTACAATTTACAGTTTTAAAATAAATAATCGTGGCTCGGCCTACGATGAATCATAAAAACACTAGTTGTTTTGCGGTTTGATCCAAATAGTGTATTACTTGTTTACACAACCGCCTTATAAGAAAATGTTAATGTATAGTGCCGCAACTACCATTTTGGAGGCCCGGATTGGGGTTACTTATTGGAGGTATATTTTAACATAATTTATTATACAAAACGTTTGATTAAGTTATTATTTAAAATTATGTACATAACACATCTATTCCTTATAAAAATACTTGGCAGGCGACTACCACATATGATGTGTACTAAACGGCTTTTTCTGTATAATATTATATGAAGGAGAAAAAAAAACTAACCGAAAATGATAATCCATTGGAAAGTTTTCTCGTGATTGGAATAGAGCCCTGAGGTGTAGCTAAAAAAGCCGAGACGTTAAAAATAGATTTTAAATGCATTCTAAGTTTATCGTCAAATTATAGAAAAGTAGGTTTTACTAGAAATATAATTATACAAAAATGAAAAGGTAGGTTATACAGAGTGACTTTTTTATCATGGGCAATAAATTTTCTCCTTTTTGGGGGGGTTTTGACCCCTACCATCTTAGTTATTTGGATAACAACTTTTGAAACTTAAATGGTAACGCATTTATTTCATTAACT